CCCAGTTTGTGTCAAATAATATTTAGACATATTTTTTAACATATCAATTGAATATTTGTTAATTTTTTTTAATAATTATTACTCTTTATTTTATTTTATAAAATAATGTTATCTCCTACGCACATATAAAAATATGCAGCCCATATGGTGAAATATGAAGAGAATTGAGAAAAAAAAATATGGGTCCTTCACACTCTTATATCTGTGGAGAAGATAAGATTTATTTCCTACAACATGAGAAATATTATTCCCTAATTTTTTAACTTGATATTAACTATATTTTAGTAACTTTATCTTAAACATATTGTATGACCGTATACTAACTAAAATTCTGATTTATTATGTTATATCATATATTCGTATTTATAATTTTTTTGACGTATCTTACATTATTAATATTATCATTAAATAAAAAATAGAAATATATCATTAATAATATATATTCAATAAAATTTTAATTTATTTAAGTCTCTTTCTGTGTATATACTATCATAGGGATAGTCGAATAGACTTGAGAAAGTTCACAGGAAGCCCGAGAGAAAAGAGAAAGGTATGACAAAGGGATAAAATATCATTCTAAGGAGGAACACACTCATCTTTCGCATAAGAGAGTGTAGGAATAAATAAGTGAAATCAGATTTTTCACCTCAAAAATACTATCATTCTATTTTTACAATTCTACCATAAATCTATCGCACAAGACTTATTCAATTTTATTTTTATTAGAACCTAAGAGATTAAGATTAAAAATATTTTGGTTTTTTCTAAAGTTACTTTAGATAATTTTGCCTAATATTCACGGAAATGACGTTGTTTTGAGACGAAAATTATAATATATTTGTAATTTCAATTTATTTTAGGGTTATAATAGTCTTTATCATTTTAATTTTTCAACCCCAAATTGATGTTGTTTTGGTGAACATTAGACAAAATTGTCTAAAATAACATTAGATACTTTTTCCTCTAAAAATATATAATAAAATAACATTTTGAAGTCATTTTATCAATACATATTGTTTATGAAAAATGTGAGTGTCATGTTATGTTACATCTTGTGTCACACTATAGACACAAAAAAGTGTGAGTTTCACTGGAAAAAAAAAAAATGTAGTCTCACATCTTTATATCTATGGCATGACACAAAATATGTACATAAAATATGTCATATATCATGACCTCATATTTCCCTTTGTTTATATGTATGAATGATCTTGCTGTATTATGTTTTAAAAATTTTACAGTGAATGCAAATAAGTTATCTATATTCACTTCTAAAATGACAACGTTTTGGGTTGAAAGATTAAAAAATTATAATGATAAAGATTATTACATTGAAATAAATTATAATTAAAAATACCTTGATTTTTGTCCCAAAATAATATTATTTTAGACTCAATGTAGATAACTTATCTGTATTCACTGCAGAAAAAATGAACTCGTATTATGCTTTAATACTTTTACAGAGAATGCAGATAAGTTATCTACATTTACTCCTAAAATAACAGTATTTTGGGTTGAAAAATTAAAAAATTATAATGATAAAAATTATTACAACTTTAAAATAAATTATAATTAAAACACTTTAATTTTTGTCTTAAAATAATATTATTTTAGATTCAATATAATAATTTATCTGCACAGAAAAAAGAAGTCAATATATTATATATACTTACGTAATATGTAATCGTCTGGGTCAGTTTCATCATTCAAACGCGTAAAATCTGAACAAGAAAGTTGGATATGAATCATGATGACCCCTGTACTTAATTTGTAGTCTTGGCTCGTAAAAGGATCCTTTGTAATCTTCTGGGATTCACATTAGTTGTTGACAAGGTCCAAGCTATAGATAATTCTGTAACACTGCAAAGAGTTAATATAGGTCAAGCTAAAGTCGTCATCTGCCTTGACAAGAATGTTGGTCTAGCTTAAACTTGGTTTGAATCAAATTATGACCAATGAAATTTAAAAATTTATATAAATTTATCTATTTCCTTTTATATTTTCGTAAATTACTTTTATGTATGAAGCCTTCGAAGCTTATTAAATATATGGGACATATGTGAAAAAAAGTTAAAACTAAAAATTCAAAGAAAGTTAGATTATCTTGTTGATAGTTGTTGTTCTGTTAGTATGACAGAGATGTCTAGCTAAAGACTAGTAGATCAAAATCGGATCTTGTGTTATCTCTAGATATCTATGAATTAAGTATTTTGGGAGTAATAAATTACCGTACACGATTATGAGGCATTAGCCAAAGTGAGAGGTGGTGTATGTACATAGTGATTACAAAATAATACTAGTAGAGAGAGATTAGTTCATACATATGATCTTTAGCTCTTATTTATAATGTTTACATTAGGATTTGAACTATTTGAGCCTCCTTCCCTTGGACCCAATCTACTATTCATATGTTATTTAACTGTTCATCCTTTGTTGGGTCTCTCAAGTATATGGACTTTATATGGATCCACCAATATCAAAAGCATAAATACCAAATTTTGTCATTGAAAGACACAAGGAACGTCAATTTTTTTTTCTCCATGAACACAAGTAACGTCAATTTAATCCTTTAAACTAGCAACTATCAACTAAATTTTTAATTAATTATTAAAATGACATCAATTTACCTTTTTAATCATACAAATAATATTGAGATATGGTGCGTTTAGCTTAAATTTTAAAATAATTAATTCTTAAAAATAGTTCAAAGGTAATTTTATAAAAGCTAATTTTATTTAGATGACGTGAATTAAAGTTACGTAAAATTTGGTTCTCATGTTTCAAATTTGAGAATTCAATACCGACAGACACAATTGAGGGTGACGTTGTAACATAACATGATATATAGGTGGATCCACTGCCTTCCAATAAAAAAGCATATTCTTCAATCTTCATTTCTACAAAAAGACTCGATTCAATTATTGTGAATGCAGATAGCAAATCAATAAAAAATGAACCACTTTTTGAAAGAATTTATTTTGGTTTAAATAATATTTTGGGCTTTATAAATTGGATTTAACATTTATGTTTTTGCTGAATTTTTTTTTCTGCTGCACTCACATAAAAGTGAGTGGATTCTATTAATTTATTTTTTCTCTTCTTTTTAAAATGGTGCTCACTTACTTTTATGTGAGTGTAGTAGAAAAAAAATTTCTATAGTAAAAATAAAAATATGTTTCCCTTAAAATTTTTATCAATTTAGGTTTTGATCTTTATAGCTTATTTTTGTAACATCAATCTCATATTTTTACTCATTTGGCTAAAGTAATCAATATTTATATTTTGTACTTATTTAATTTGAATCCCTGTGATTTTTACTTGTTAAGATATTAGTCTCTATTTTTATTTTATTTATTAAAATATTTATTTCTCATTAATCGAAACTCTAATAAATAAAAAATCAAACAACACCAAATAAAGTAATTGTAAGAACTAAAATATTATTTAAATAATTTATTTTTGACTGCTCAAATTAATGTAGTTTTTTATAATATACAAATAAACTAAATATGCACGCAATTTCTTAACCACAAGTTCCATTAATATTGTAAGGACCAAAGCAAAATAAAAAAGGGGAAGAAAAGTGTTGACCAGATGCAAAATAAGAGCCATACTTAATTATATCATAAATAAATATTAATTTTCTTTAATAAAACTGGAAATGGATCCTGAAAAATTACATGATCATATCATATGAAAAGATCACAATTATATAAAGATAAATCAACTATTATGATTTTATAATTACCTATTTTAATATTTTTTTTTTCTCTTCCTTTATTACCATTGATCCACCTTTGTATTGTTATGATTTCTCACATGATATGGTCATGTAATTTTTCACATGAGAGGATCAAGATCCAATAAAACTAACTATATTAATGTCACATGTAATTTTGATGAAATCAAATGAGTGCTTATCAGTGGGATATCATCATCCATGAAAAAGAGATGATTAGATGAACTACTTATTCTAAATCTACTGGAAATTTCTAGGAAAAAAAATTGAAAATTGAAAATTGAATTATCATATTTTGACCTTTTGAAGGGCTCACATTCACACACGGTAGGTATCTGGGTGGAATTGAAACGTTCCTGGGCATTCAGGTAAGGTATCATAATATAAGACGAGACGAAATCTATTATCCAATGGAGTGCCTCTAATCCAGGGTGATGCTGCTGGCCACAAATAAATGACAATTGAAATTGCACCTTGTTTAATTTTGCAATTAAATTATGTAAATGACTAGGAAATTTCCAATCCGAGTCACAATACTGATGTGTGACCACTTTCATATTCCCAATCGTCAAGGTGACATCATCAACCAATATGGATTAAACTTTTAGTACTTTTAGTACATAATCTTTTAATAAAAGTAAAAATAAATGGAACTTACTTAGTATCATCTATAAAGAAATATGTAAAATAAATAAAGGAAAAAAAGTTTCCGATGTTACTTTAGATAATTTTATCTAATGTTCATCGAAACGACGTCGTTTTGGGTTGAAAAATTAAAAAATTAGAGTGATAAAGACTATTATAACCCTGAAATATATTAAAATTACAAAAATAGCATGATTTCCGTCTTAAAACGAAGTCGTTTTGATAAACATTAGATAAAGTTATCTAAAATAACATGAGTAAAAACAAACCCATATATAAAATCAGATAAATTACTTTTTCTTTTTAACTTTAGTAGGTGATCGTGCTAAAGAAATTTTCGCGATCACGTGATAAAAACAGAAGCTGTCCTAATTTCCTAAAGTCCCAAAACCAAGTCCCGTGTATGAATGCTGTTCTACGTTTTCTCCCATTTAGGAGCCACCGGAAAGAAAGGTTAAACAGAATGACCAAGACTGTTATTCAAAGGCTAAAGTATTGACAGTCAAACCGAAAACTTATCAATGATGGCATCAATGATATCAAAAAAAGAAAACTTATAATTTTTTTTTTAATTAATAATTCACTATCTCTATTCCACCCGGCCCTCTAAAAAGAAAAATTAATATAAATATCAATAATGACACTTTCATTGGGTCAAAAAACATAAAAGATGGGTAAAGAAATAGTTGAGAGAGCTCTAAACAGCTTAGGAAAAGGCTTCGACTTGACCTCAGATTTCAGGCTGAAATTCTGCAAAGGCGAAGAGCGTTTGGTTCTTCTGAATGAAACAGAGAGAAGAGAGCTAACGGTGCCAGGTTTTGGACCCACCAGAGATGTCTCCGTTGACATCAAATGTGATAAAGGTGATCGCATTCGGTATCAGTCTGATATCCACACCTTCACCCAAGTAAGGCTTTTCATCAAACATTTGTTGTCAATTGATGGAAATTTTTTTTTAATTTTTTTTTTCAATTAATTGGTTTCTGGGTTTTGATATTAGATGTCAGAACTCTTCAACCAAAAGAGCTCAATCCCTGGGAAAATCCCATCTGGGTATTTCAACACCATGTTTGGGTTTGATGAGTGTTCATGGGCAAGTGATGCAGCTAACACCAAATGCTTGGGTCTTGATGGCTATTTCATCATACTTTTCAATGTTCATATTGATCGGTTCCCACTTTTTCTCTCTAAACAAGTCCTTGAAGCTGTTCCTTCTTCTTGGGATCCTCCTGCACTTGCAAGGTAATTATGATTTCTTCCTTCTTCTTTTTTTTAAAATTTTATTTTGATTCTATGTATTAATGCAAATAAATTCCCCATAAATATTAAGAGCAAAGTTAAAAATACCCTATAATGAATTGGCTTTTGCACTGCATGAGACCAATCGTAGAAATGGTTCTATATATCGACATCGCAGCCATGATTGTCTTTCCTGGTAATTCTATTCTTTGTTCCCAGCCCAGTAGTCGATGATACAATTCAGAAACAATATTTTCAAAGATTTTATGCCCATTTAATTTAAATAATTAGATATTATCTTAGTTTTATCATAACTCTTTTTTTAATTATCTAAATGATTTCATTGTAAACTTAGTGAAGGGATTTTGAGCATACCATTTTTTGTTGTATATTTCTTTTTGTCTTGGAATTTGTTGATTCTTTTAACAGTAATATTATTCTTACACTTCAATTTCTGCATTTCTATTTTACACATTTTTTATGACAAAAAAAGAAGAGAAAAACACACAAAAAAATGTATCTGTAAGGTCTTAGAAGACCGTATTGCTATACCGTATAATATGCGCTCAGAGATACCTAAAGATAGGTATCTAGATTGACTTATAGCTAACACTCCAATCACTACGCACAAGCAATAGACTCATAGCCAAGATACCCTAAAGATAAGTATCTAGATTGACTTGTAGCTAACACTCCAATCACTACGCACAAGCAATAGGCTTATAGTCAAGACGTGAGTGTACCTGGGTCTTCAACCTCTTATTTATAAGGGTCTGGGTCTTCAACCTCTTATTTATAAGGGTTACCTCTTGGGCTTGTATAGATCTCTTAAGGATTCAACTTGCTTTCTGTTGGGACGTGGACTCTATCCTGAGCAGCTTTACTGTTTTATATTGTTAGGACAATTAGGTCATTATCTTTTAATGGATTCTTGGGTGGGTAGTTAGGATATGATATATATCTATAACAGTATTAAAAAGTAATATTTTTGGTTTTTCAATTTATATACTTCATAGAACTTACAAACAGATAAAATAAGTAGATGAAAGTAATTTGGTATATGTACAGAGTAAAAAAAAAGAGCCCCACACTTTAATATTTGTTAGGTATGTGTTGCGAAATTTATTTGTGAGAATGATATCACTACTTTGTGCATAAAATATTAGTGCACCTATTGAATTTTGAAACTGGGAAAGTAATTGGCTATCTGCCACATAAACAAGGTCAAAGAGGCTGCTTGGCTGTATGGGCAACTATGTTGCATTGATATTGGACACAATATGATACGATACTCTCATATATTAATTTTAAAAATATTATATTTCGATATGTTTGAATACATTTTAATATTAAATAATATTTTAATTTATGTAGTGTATGATATATTTAATATTCAATAATTTAATAAAATTATGAAACTAAATTTATAATATCCATTATTTTCATTTATTATTACAATTTTAAATTGAAAACTCTTATACCTCTAAGATTTATTTGGTATCCATTTTTATTTTTTATTATATCAATTTAATAAAATATTGATTAATTTTTTCATATATATATAATAAAATTTTAAATATTATAAATATCAGAATATATTATAGTGTCATAATATCGATGAATGTCGGACACTCAAATTTTTTTAAGTGGCAAACGTGTAACATTACAAGCTTAGCTGTCTGGGCGCACAACATTTTTCTACGTTGTGTCAATATCTAGATGCTTATCTTGTTGGACCAGTACGCTAGCTTTACATTGATGTGGTCCATTTGATCTTTTCTTTCTGTTTTATTATTTAGTAATAGTCAAACTAAACACCATTGACATTGAGAATAAGATAACCTATTTAGATCAAATAATTAGGTCTGAACCCAAGAACTTAAGAGAGGATTCGTGCAACATTGATAGTTCAATTATTTAAACGTCCTTTCATAAAATAGTATTTGTGTGAATAATTGTTTATTTTCTACAAAAAAAAAAAAATCAGTTCAGTTGATAAAACCTTTCTTTTTTTGGGTACATTTATCTGATCAATTCTTTTGTGTGAGAATTCAGAATCAACACTAAAAAGGAGAATTGAGAAAAAAAAGGAAGTTATGTCTTTTATTCTATTTTTTGCACTCAAATAAAAAGTGTTCTAATTAATAAATTACATTAATGATTTATATGAGTGAGATAAAATGAAATATTAGACCTTCAGAAAGACGAGATAAGACACTAGTATAATTATTTTGGGAGGGTTATATTGTCTACTTATTTAATTTTACTACCCATATTATTTATTTATTACTGTTAATTATATTTAAATTAACGATAATAAGCAATTGATATAATTAGTTGAGAAAAATAAGGGAGAGATAAATAAATAAAAATTATTATATTTGAGACCGTTGATTTAAATATAATCAACAACAATAATAAAAAAATAGTAAAGATATAAAGATTAAATAGATAGGCAATATAACTATCCTCAATTATTTTAATGTCATAAAATCAATTTCTTAATGCAAAATACATATGCAACACGCTGGATACTAGCTATTTACTCTCTTTTTTTTTTTTTTTGATAACAAGCTATTTACTCTTTTTAGCCACTACATTGGTTCCCCATTATCGATATATTCTGAACCCAAAATTTGATCATCTCGGCCATAATAATCTGTATTATAAAAAAACCAAACAATTTCTTTTAAATTTCGGAATGTTTTCTTAAATAGATTTATGATTTTATACCTGTTTCCAGGTATATTATTAGTCAAATTAATCAGCTATACATCTCTACCATGTTTTTCTTTTCTTTTATTATTAATGAATAAAGTTTCTTGCTACGCGTCCACCGAAAAAAAGAAAAGGTTTCTTGCTATGCTGAAATCATGGAAGTGTTTCCATGAAGAAGTTGTCATGCATGCAAACCCCAGCTAAAGGTCCTTTCATCAAACGCAAGAAGTTTGACTTTTGGCCTGTTCGCTTCTATAACTCATCTTTCGAAAATTGCATTGATTTTTTTATTCATTTCCTTATCGTCGTCTTCTTATATTATTAACAAAGCCTGTTTACACTATCTATGTATTGTAATTTCCAATTCATATTAGTGGATCAGTAGAAGTCAATGGTTTACCATATTTTAAAGATAATTATGATATCGACATTGCATGATTTTTTGGGCTATTTTCTAAGAAAACGTAGGATAGAAGCTAACTTAATATTATTGCTGATACCTAATGATTGTCTTTTCTTTGTTCAAAACTATAGGATTGCACCAAAAATAAAATGCTATAGTAAATGAACAGTTGGAACTTTAAGGTTTTTTTTTTTAATTGTTAGTGAGATTATACTTATCATCATTTTAGACTTACTATTCTTATTACCTGTTTAATTTTTTGTTGTACCAATTTGGAATCAATGATTGAAAACGAGAAAAAAAAAAAATCTCGTTGATTTCAAATTAATCTAATAATAATCAATTAAATTGTAAGAATGGTAATTCTAAAATAGTTATAAGTATAACTGTTTATACTAAAATCGCTTGCAAAGCCAGGTCAAATTGCATCAAATTTCCTGGCAAAACGAAAAGATTGAAGATTTTCAAAGATATCCTAATCTTTTTTGGATCAGATATTGACTAAGAACCGTAACGGTTAATTTGGATGCGACTAGGTTGGATTGGATTTAAATTTTAAGCAAATGATCGTCGAGGGAATTGTTTATATATATATATATATATATATATATGTGGAGGAAGATTATACTTACAACTTTTTTTTACAACCTCTTACAATCATATTTTAACACCGTTGATTTCCGTCAATCAACGGTTATCATTTATTATGAATTAATAATTAATTAATGAGTTTAATTTGCGAAAATCATAATCGTTGATTGGCTGAAATCAACGGTATTAAGATATGGTTGTAAGAGGTTGTAAAAAAAAGTTATAATATATATATATATATATATGGGGCAAGATATTCTTACACTGGTGTAAAAATTAGAAGTCTTACACTCAATCTTGACCGTTGATCCATTTGCATCCAATGGCTCACATTACTAAAAAATTTGAACCATTAAATATAAGTGGGATCAGCGGACAAGATTAAGAGTGTAACTTACACTGGTGTAAAATGATCCTAACCATATATATATATATATATATATATATATATATATATATATATATATATATATATGGGGAATAATCCGTTTACAAACTTTTTTGATAAATTTTACAAATTACACTATGTTCTCCCGGAAGAACATAGTGAAATGAGTGTTTTCCGGGAAGAAGATAGTGTAATTTGTAAGAGTTTGTAAATAAAAAAGTTTGTAAATATAACCTGCTTTTTATATATATATATATATATATATATATATATATATATATATATATATATATATATATATATATCCTTAGTAGTTTGACATATTATGTGGCCGGATCCGATTACTTAGGGATTGAGGCTTCTGACATATGGCGATAGTATCTTGCTTGGATTGAAATCCAATTACAAGTATGTTTGCTTTTAATTCTAAGTTGAACTAAAATTCCAAAAACGAAAGGACACAAAGTAAGATTAACCTATCATTGAATTGAATTTGCTCTGTATACATATTGTAATGCACTACTCTAGTGGAGCTTTATTTGAAAAGTTGGCTCTCAATTCAATGAACTTTAAATATCATTATTTTGACTTGAATGTAAGTATGTAACCATGTAAGAGACATAAATATTTATTCACTTCTTTCTAATTAAACTGAGACGCAGGCACCCTTAGACCTTTTTTAATGTTTGATGAATTAGGGAAATGCTATTGGACATACTTGATTCTCTGCTCCTTAATCACTAAGAAGGCAATTAAAAATATAGAAACTAAACTTGCTTTTTTGAAGCTCCTTAATCGATGTTCTTTAACATTGAAATTTTTATCAGATTTATCGAGAAATTTGGGACACACATCCTTGTGGGGCTTAGCATTGGTGGCAAAGATTTAGTGTTGGTCAAGCAAGACGAGTCTTCCAACTTGGGGCCATCAGAGCTCAAGAAACACTTGGATGAGCTTGGAGATCAGTTATTCACTGGGACCTGCAATTTCCTTCCAAAAACCAAAGAGCAGAAAAACAAGGTTTCATTCACACACTTAATTAATTAAGCTCAATTTATGCAAATAAGAACAATTCATTATAAGCCATTACAGTTTTCCTTAATTTGATTTGGTTCTGAATAGTTACAATGTGATGTGCTGAAAACACAGGTACCACAGGCTTTTGATGTCTTTGGTCCGCAAATTGTTGCCTTCAATAGTTCCACATCCGTTTGTGCAAAAGATGTAGGTTCTACTGATAACATATAGTAATTGTTAAGTTAGTTTTCAATTCTGTTCAGTTTGTTTTGAGTCTGTAACTGAATTAGTTAGCCTAGTTTAGTTTCCTTTCTGATATGCTATAAATACACTTTTGTAGAGTCTTTATATTTTAATATTAATTCCATCAATTTCTCTCACATTTAGAGATCCCACAGATATTTTCTCTCTCTCTTGAATCTTCCCTGTGCTTGAGATCCTGCGCCAAATACCTTTATGGTATCATCGCCACCGATCCATGGCAACCTCTGCTTCCGCTCCCACTCTACACACCTTCTCCAACCCTGTTTCGTTCAAACTTGATGAAACGAATTTCCTACCATGGAAACAACAGGCTCTTGCAACTATTCGAGGATTCAAACTTCAACAACTTCTTGATGCACCTCCAAGCTCAGATCTTGATGAATCTGAGTCGCTATGGCAGCAACAAGATCAACTACTCATGTCCTGGTTACTTTCCTCCATGTCTGAAGCTCTCTACACCAGAATGGTAGGATGCACCTCCTCCTCTCAGATCTGGGAGAAACTAGAGGAATTTTTTGCGTCACAAACGCGTGCAAAAATCAAACAGCTCAAACAACAGCTAAAATCAACAAAGAAAGAGGGACCAATTTCTGGTTACCTACTCAAGATCAAGAAAATCGTGGACTCTCTTGCTGCCACTGGATCCTCTGTGAGCTCTGAAGATCATATTGATGCCATTCTTGATGGCTTGAATGAGGACTATGATCCTTTCGTAGTCTCAGTCACATCAAGAACTGATCCATACACAGTAACAGAAATGGAGGCTCTCTTAATGGCTCAAGAAGAAAGAATTGAAAAGAGATCCAAGACTGAGTTAACTGTCTTGCAAGCTCATGTTGCACAAATGCAATTTAGAAAACCTAATGCTCAAGGTTTTAACCGTGGAGGTTCTTCCCACTTCAATCGTGGTGGTGGTTTTTCCCAAAGAGGAAGACAGAACCGAGGAGCTCGCTCAAACAATTTCAATGGCAGACTGTACTGTCAAGTATGTGGCAAGCCAGGTCACATTGCCTGGAATTGCTATCACAGGTATAACCAGGACTATCCAAATCCCACTGAGCAAGTCAAGAATGACAAGTTTACTCCTCAGAACTCACAGATTCAAGCTAATGTTGCTATGACTGGATCTGCTGAGCAAGATACTCCAACTGAAAATACAACTGACTACTTCTCTGTATTTGACCAAGCTTGGTACCCTGACTCAGGCGCAACCAATCATCTCACTCCTAGTGCTGGTAATCTCTTATCCAAAACAAATTATAAAGGTCAAGAATCTGTTCAAATAGGCAATGGATCTTGTATGAAAATAAAGCACAGTGGTCACACTATTTTACACTCACCATCCAACTCATTATCCTTTACTTTACCTAATCTTCTACATGTTCCTGGTCTTTCAAAAAATCTTCTAAGTGTCTCGCAGTTTGCTAAAGATCACAATGTATTTTTTGAATTTCATCCTAATCATTGTGTTGTTAAATCTCAGGCAAGCAAGGAGATCCTTCTTCAAGGAACACTTAAGAATGGTCTCTATGCATTTGAGGGTGTCAAAATTCCAACTCATACTGCTTTTACTGCTGTTTCTGTTCAAAATAAAAATGTATCCCACTCCACAGTGGTTGATTCTGTCACTTGCAAAATAGATAGCAAGTTGTCCTTATGGCATGCACGTTTAGGTCATGCTTCACTCAGCACTGTAAAAAGTGTATTGAATCATTGTAATATTTCATTCCAAAATAATAAAACTCCTTTTACCTGTTGTGCTTGTTGTATGGGTAAAATGCATCAATTGCCCTTTCCAGCTTCAACTCATGTTTATACAAAACCTCTGGAATTAATATTTTCTGATATATGGGGTCCTGCTCCCATTACTAGCACCACTGGCTCTAGATATTACATTGTCTTTGTTGATGCTTTCAGCAAATTTACTTGGTTATATCCTATATCTACAAAGAGTCAAGCTCTTCCTGTTTTTGTTGCATTCAAAACTATGGCTGAATTGCAATTCAACACTAAAGTCAAATCTGTCCAAACCGATAATGCAAAAGAATATCTAGCCTTTGATAACTACCTCCAACAAAATGGCATAGTTCATAGACTCACTTGTCCATACACTCATCAACAAAATGGTACCCTTGAGAGAAAACACAGGCACATAGTTGAAACTGGTCTATCTCTCCTTGCTGCTTCCTCTCTCCCTCAACAATATTGGGAAGATGCATTTCTCACAGCAACCTATATCATCAATAGGCTTCCTACACCTACATTGCACAATACCTCTCCTTATGCCATACTGCTTCAAAAGGAACCTGATTACACACTTCTGAGAACCTTTGGTTGTGCTTGTTACCCTCACCTAAGGCCCTACAATAAACACAAACTTGATTTTCGCTCAATCCAATGCACATTCCTTGGCTACAGTTCCAACCATAAGGGTTACAAATGCCTCTCACCTGAAGGTAAAATATTTGTTGCAAGAAATGTTGTTTTTGATGAATTTCTGTTTCCCTTTACCCAAACAGTCACCAAAAATACTGTGTCTTCTTCTTCTGAACCATCACATGTACCTATAATCCCTAAAGTAACTATCTCACCTTCCTCTCAACTCACATCCATACCCACTACATGTGCTGAGGTCACTACAGATTCTGTTTTGCCTATTTCTAACAGTTCTTGCAGGTTATCTACTGGTGAGACATCAGAGTCTCTTTTACCTGCTACAGCACCTACCTCTCAACCCAACAATAATCACCATATGCTCACTAGAGCCAAGACTGGTGTCTTTAAACCCAAGGCCTTTACTGCTTCTGTTGAACCTACCTCAGTTGCAAAGGCTATGACTCAACCTCAATGGCTGCAAGCCATGAAAGATGAATATGAAGCACTTCAAAGAAATAATACCTGGCAGCTTGTACCTCTGCCATCAGACTGCACCCCCATTGGATGTAAATGGGTGTTCAGGACCAAATACAATCCAGATGGATCTATCTCCAAACATAAAGCTCGCCTAGTAGCTAAAGGTTTTCATCAAAGAGAAGGTCTAGACTATGCAGAAACCTTCAGCCCTGTGGTTAAACCTGCTACTGTCAGAATTATCCTCACGATAGCTCTCTCTCGGCAGTGGCCAATTCACCAATTGGATGTGAATAATGCTTTCTTAAATGGAGATCTTCATGAGACTGTTTATATGCAGCAGCCTCCAGGCTTTACTACAGGTGATAAAACAACTGTTTGCCGCCTCACCAAGGCACTTTATGGTCTCAAACAAGCCCCTCGTGCTTGGTTTGAGAAACTCAGTTTCACTTTGGGTCACCTAGGATTTGCCTCTACAAAGTGTGACTCATCACTCTTCATCAAAATCACATCCACAGCAACCATCTATGTTTTGGTCTATGTAGATGACATCCTCATCACTGGCTCCTCACCTACTGCCATTACATCACTCATTACTAATCTCAACTCAGCCTTTGCTCTCAAGGATTTAGGCCAGCTTCACTATTTTCTTGGTATTGAAGCACAAAAAGACTCCTCAGGTACACTGCATCTCAGTCAAGCAAAGTATATTGCTGACTTACTCAAAAAGGCAAACATGAGTGACTGCAAACCAATGCCAACTCCTATGTCTTCAAGTATAAAACTATCTTCTAGAGATGGCACTGCCTTTCATGATCCCTCTCTCTATCGGTCCATAGTTGGAGCCTTACAATATGCTACAGTAACTAGACCTGACATATCCTTCTCTGTCAACAAGGTATGTCAGTTCATGCATGCTCCTCTTGACACTCATTGGAAGGCAGTTAAACGAATCTTACGGTATCTACATGGCACAAGTTCTCTAGGACTTACCATTTCTCCTTCTCCTCACTTTCACATCTCAGCCTATTGTGACAGTGACTGGGGATCTGATATTGATGACCGTAGGTCCACATCTGGTTACTGTATCTTTCTTGGTAACAATTTAATTAATTGGTCCTGCAAAAAGCAAGCTGTGGTAAGTCGCTCAAGTACTGAGGCTGAGTATAGATGTCTTGCAGCCACCATTGCTGAACTTGCTTGGCTCAAATCTTTATTGTCTGAGTTGCTTATCTCCACTCCAGGCACACCTACAGTTTATTGTGATAACCTTAGTGCAGTGCAACTGGCAGCAAATCCCCTTTTTCATTCCAGAACAAAGCATTTTGAACTGGATCTCTATTTTGTTCGCGAAAAGGTTATGGCAAAACACCTCACTGTTCATCATATACCTTCAGTGGATCAGATAGCAGATGGCTTCACCAAGGCTGTCTCCAGGCCTAATTTTCTCAACTTTTGTTCCAAGCTCAAGCTTTCCACCTCTTCCAGCCTTGAGCTTGCGGGGGGATGATAACATATAGTAATTGTTAAGTTAGTTTTCAATTCTGTTCAGTTTGTTTTGAGTCTGTAACTGAATTAGTTAGCCTAGTTTAGTTTCCTTTCTGATATGCTATAAATACACTTTTGTAGAGTCTTTATATTTTAATATTAATTCCATCAATTTCTCTCACATTTAGAGATCCCACAGATATTTTCTCTCTCTCTTGAATCTTCCCTGTGCTTGAGATCCTGCGCCAAATACCTTTATCTACCTCAGTCTAAATTAGAATTTTCCTATCTTTATGAATAATTGAATATTCAACATCCAAGTTAATTCGAAAAAAAAAAAAAACTGAGGAATTCTTAAGAATTTTCATGAAGTAGAAATGGATAGAAAAGTTTTCGGGTATAATTTTCAGAAAATCCTGAAATTAATCACCCGGAAAATGCTAATTAGGTTAATTATAATAGATTATGTGAATAATTAATGGGATTCGGAGATGATATTATAGATGGTGGAACATGCAGGGAATCACTGTGATATGTGCAAAGAGGGGAGGAGATACCCAAGTGAGCAACCATTGTGAATGGCTTCTGACTGTGGCTAACAAGCCAGATGCTGTTGATTTTAGCTTCATTCCCATCACTTCTCTTCTTAAAGGTGCTCCTGGCAGAGGCTTCCTATCCCATGCCATCAACCTCTACCTTCGATGTAAGTTTATTTTATTTTATTTTTCAGGTTGTGTTCATCAATGAGACTAATCTCTTTATAGTATAGTGGGATAGAACAATTGAAAATGAAAACAGCACAATACTTGTCAAAGATACTGTTAATACCCTTAAATGTTATTTTAAATTACGAAAAGCAACGCTAAATCACACGGTTTTTTATTTTTTTTTATTTTTATGAATTTCATTTTGGTTATATATTTATTGTTAATTTTTTTCCCGTTTCATCTCTTAAATATATAACTGTTTTTTATAGTCGGTTCGCCACACTTGATGTCAACCCTTCTCCTTTATCCTGATTTGGGACAGACGTGGAATTGTTCCTCTTCCTTTAGTCATTTTCCTCTTCACCCCTCTCTTGTTTTCCCCTTCTTTTATTACTTATATATATAGGCAAAATAATTTCTGCAACTGCTGTACCTACAGTTAGTCAGAATCCGTGTGCAAATCTTAGGATACGGCAACGGATCCTTGTTTTTTTTTAAAACGCCGTGGAACCCACTTTTCTGTGTCAGTTGTAGAGAGTGTTATCTACGGCGGCCGCAGAAATGTTAACCCCATATATATATATATATATATATATATATATATATTATTTTATTTATTTATCTTTTTTTCAATCCTTTTATATCTTTTATTTGAGTTCATCTACCATCGATCCTAATTAGTTTGGGATAAAGATGTTGTTGATGTTGACTCTTTCCCCATACATAATTACATATAATGTATCAGTGACGAAGACAAGTCAATTTTATCACATGCAATAAATTTAGAGTAGGGTTATATTGACAAATTTTTTTTTTACAAACTATACTATATCTGACCGGTAATACTCTAGTCAAGAGTGTATTATCGATCAGACATAATATAATTTATAAGAGAGGGTAAACAAAAAGTTTGTAAATTCCGATAAATTTACATATAAATTTTAGTGAAATAGTTTTGATTTTAACAATTTTGGAAAAATGACAATAAATTAAATTCATATAAATACATATGTCAGATTCGCCATACTTTCTTGACTTCCAAGCACACAAACTTTGAGCTCCCATTCACAATGTTTAATCATTCTTCACCAAGCTGTCACTTTCTAGTTGTTGAACTGTTGAGGTGAATTAAATTGACATCAAATGCAGATAAGCCTCCTATGTCAGATTTGCCATACTTTCTTGACTACCAAGCACACAAGCTTTGGGCTCCCATTCACAATGATCTTCCTCTGGGTCCAGTCACAAACAGAACCACTTCTTCACCTTCTCTCAGCTTCAACTTGATGGGTCCCAAGCTTTATGTAAACACTACAAAGGTACTTTCAAATCCTTCCCAATGAGTAATTAGACTTAGTATTTCATGTTATTCTGCCTAATTATCTTACTCATGACAGGTAACAGTGGATAGGAGGCCAATCACAGGGATGCGCTTGTTTCTTGAGGGAATGAAATGTAACAGGTTAATTCCACACTACTAGTAATTATTCTTTCAAATTCTGTTTAACTAGCAATCTTAGTTAAGATTGTTTGGTCAATGAATAATGCTGACAAGGATGTTGGTGACACAGATTAGCCGTACACCTGCAACATCTATTAAACATTCCAACAATGCTTGACAGCAAAATAGGGGACACCACAATTTGGTCAGAAGAAATCAGTGATGACCGTTTCATCGAAGCAATCAATGGGAAGAAATTTTCCCATGTATGTACAGCACCAGTGAAATACAATCCTAGATGGAGTTTAGATAAAGATGTGGCCTTTATAGTTACAGGGGCCCAACTTCATGTGAAGAAACATGACTCAAGGAATGTCCTTCATCTGAGGCTGTTGTTCTCTAAGGTGTCCAATTCTATTGTTGTAAACTCAAATTGGACACAAGGGTCCTCTGGGTTGTCCCAGAGGTCTGGCATTTTCTCAGCAATAAGCACATCAATTTCAGGTAAAGACCAGAAAAAACCATCTGTAGTTGTGGATTCAAGTGTGTTTCCAGAAGGACCTCCAATGCCCGTGCAAACACAAAAGCTGTTGAAATTTGTTGATATGTCACAGTTATGTAAAGGACCACAAGATAGTCCTGGCCATTGGTTGGTCACTGGGGCAAGATTGGTCTTGGACAAGGGTAAGATAAGTTTATGGGTTAAGTTCTCTTTGCTAAATACTGGTTCATGAGATGTCCATACAGAAGTCTAAGTGAAAAAAGAAATATTTTTTAAATGAGATAACACACAAAAGTGGATTGGACCGGTTAAGAAGAAGAGAGAGAGAAAAAAAATTATCTACTTTTTATATGTTACATGAGATAATTTTATCTGATGTAACATAATAAACATATTTTTCATGAAAAAATAGAAAAAAAGGAAAAAAATTTCAAATTATATATTTCTGTGTAAATTTTCACACACATATACCAACAATGGTTATGTCCTTGTCTTTTAATGACTCTGGCTGCGTATATAGACGTAGTTTATAGGGTCAATTATTCTTTCCATTGGTTTTGTAAGTAGCTTCCAACAAAATCAAGTATTTACAAGATTGTACATCTCTAAGGACATATATACATATTTCTAATCATGTTGCTGTATAGATCCTTTTTTTGAGATGAACTAGTTTATGACCCGTGTCTTCGCACAAGATGATAGTAAGTAAAAAATATAAAATATAATTAAATAAATAGTAAAATTATATGTATATTATATATTATAGTGAAATAGCAAACTCTATAAAATAATGTAAAATAGTTCAACAAATAAGACAAATTAACTTATTTCAACCTTTGAAAATTTTCTTTGAATACAATATTTGTTGTAGTATTGACAATTGTGCCATGATTGTTAAATATGAGAAGCTTTAAACCCTTCTTACTTTTGACCCAAGAGAGAGCAATATACAATTGGCCATGAGTAAAAATTGGTCTTGGAAGATAAATTCCTACATGAGATAAAGTTTGACCTTCACTCTTGTTTATTGTCATGGCAAAGCAAACAACCAATGAAAATTGCATGCGTTCAAACTTTACAGGGAAGGTGTAATTAGAAGAACTCAAATTCATCATTGGAATTAACACGATCTCACCTATGTTATTGCCTAAAAGGATTTTTCCTTCAAAAACATGTTCACCAAGGTTTGTAACGAGTAATCGTGTCCCATTGCACAACCCTCTTGATTGATCTATATTCCTCAGAAGCATGACAAACACTCCCTTTTTGAACGTTAATTTATGGTTAGGAAGTCCAGTTCCAGAAAAGGTGTTAAGTATTTATGGAGGAAATGCTTCTTCCTCAAGATTGTTATTCCCTTCTGCTTTACAGATATTATCCGAACTAAGATTTTACCTTTTCTTCACCTGGAATTATTAACATTAAGTACTCGTTTAATATGCATACATCCACTAACGTAGGTGCTAAGATAACACGTTATTGGAAGAAAGACAAATTATCCATATTTTTCAATAGATTTGGTTTTGTGAATTCTACTAAATCTGAGAGCGGATCATTGGAATCATTAATCAAGATTTCATCTGGAATTTTTATGACAGAGAATCCATCAACATTGTCACCAATGTTGTTGTCACCAACATCAAAAAGCCATTCAGAGAGCATTTTAATCTCCATGACATCATTTTGATCCTATATAAAAATTTCTTGAGGAAATGTTTGGTACACTTCCCATCATTCATGCACGGTGATTTTAGGTTTGCCAGACCACATGGACGGACCATGTATCATAAAATTCTTAACAACTTCATGAAGTGCAGGATTATCATTTGGATTTGGAATTTTCGCAGAAATAAGGGAATCAATGTCGCATGGATTTGATGGTTTATCATGCGAATGTAGAAATAGAAGAATATAAGCATGAGACAGTCCTCACTTTTGAAATTCAATAATTCAAACATCTAAAACAAATATAATAAAAGAAATATCCATAAGCAATAGCAAATTATAGACGAACTTTAGAGGAAAAGCTCATTTGTTGACAAACAATTATAAATGGTGGGATAAAGTAGACTTACATGCATTGACTCTCCCTAAGACTTGGCCTTTAGTTAAATCGTTCAACAATTGGTCTAGCTTGATCTGAGGCTGTTGAAATGCATTGACTATCCCTAAGACTTGGCCTTTTCAGGTAAAGACCAGAAAAAACCATCTGTAGTTGTGGATTCAAGTGTGTTTCCAGAAGGACCTGCAATGCCCGTGCAAACACAAAAGCTGTTGAAATTTGTTAACATGTCACAGTAATGTAAAGGACCACAAGATGGTCCTGGCCATTGGTTGGTCACTGGGGAAAGATTGGTCTTGGACAAGGGTAAGATAAGTTTATGGGTTAAGTTCTCTTTGCTAAATACTGGTTCATGGGATGTCCATACAGTAAGTCCAAGTGAAAAAAGAAACATTTTTCAAATGTTATAACACCCAAAAGTGGATGGACCTGTTAAAAAGAAGAGAGAGAAAAAAATTCATCTACTTTTTATATGTTACATAAGATAGTTTTATCTTATGCAACATAATAAATATATTTTTCATGAAAAAATGGAAAAAAATGAAATTTTTTCAAATTATATAATTTTGTGTAAATTTTCACACACATATACCAACAATGGATATGTCCTTGTCTTTTAATGACTCTGGCTGCGTATATAGACGTAGTTTATAGGGTCAATTATTCTTTCCATTGGTTTTGTAAGTAGCTTCCAACAAAATTAAGTATTTACAAGATTGTACATTTCTAAGGACATATATACATATTTCTATTCATGTTGCTGTTTAGATCCTTCTTTTGAGATGAACTAGTTCATGACTCGTGCCTTCGCACAGGATGGTGGTAAGAAAAAAAATATAAAATATAATTAAATAAACAGTAAAATTACATATATATTATGTATTATAGTGCAATAGTGTAATACCAAAAAAATAAAAAATAAAAAATAAAAAATAATAATAATAATAATTTTCGTTCATGTACTGTTCATTGGTGAAAAAATGCCAAAGTAAAGTGGCGCCTCCTAACGCTAAAATATCAAGGAATTGGCGTAGGAAAACACCAAAGTAAAGTGGCGTATTCAAATGCCAAAATATAAAGGAATTGGCGTGTGGAAATGCCAGTTGTGTATCTTATGCAAAAGTTTCTAAAAATTGACGAATGCTCGTATAAATTTTGATGTAGAACAATAATATAACTAAATAATAATAACAATAAGTAAATAAATAATAAATAACATAGTAATAAATAAATATTAAAATATAAATAGATAAGTATAAACTTCTGCAGTATAAAATTATAAATTGAACACAAATATATAAATGGCAGAAACTAAATGTGCTACGTGGTAACACCCTACATCTCTAGCACAATGAAAGTACAAGATTTTTTAGTAAACTAATCATTAGTTGAAATAGATTTTTATCTAGAAAAGAAGAGATTACGTAATATAAATTTACGTAATCTGTACATGTAACACATTTCCCTCTATATAAATACATCCCTGCGTAAAACAAAAAGAAGGAAATCAAAGACAAAGAATAAGAAAGAACGGAAGGAAATTGTAAGAGAGAAAAACAAGAGAAATTGGGAGGAAGGAAAAGAGAAGGGGAAACAGGATCAAAAGAAGGTAATATTGCAAGATTCAAAATGTACTCTCAGTATTTTCTTTAGTTATATTATTATTCTGAAAATTTATTACTTTGAAAGTTCAACTATATTATTACTCTAACAATTCCTCTTCTGCTTCATTTTGTTCTACGTGTTTTACCACAAATTTTATTATTTAGTTTTAAAGATTTTCCTTTCTTCTGAAGAATAAATTATTTGGTACCAAATAAAGAGAATGTATACTTTTTAACTTATTGATGCTGTTTGAACTAACCCACAAAGTTGGGAATCATAGGATTACAGGGTAAATGACGTCTTATCATGGCTAGAGCTCTGCCACAATAAATCTTTCACATGCAAGAGACCCACAAAATTGAAAATTTAATTAGTTTCAGTTAAATATTACACAATATATTATTTGAGAGAATGACATTTTTCGTTACTACGGCTGTAAATGGTTATAGTTAGAAAACCTCAATATTACTGAGAATTTCTCATATTTTATTTGTGTTGCTAACCTTTCTAGGGAACTATAATGCCTAGCCTAAGCTTGTTAGATGAAGGATGGAGTATCGATGTTTACTCTTACGATGATCGCATGGAATTCTATATTGTAGTAGGAAATCAAGGAACTGCTACAATATTTTATGTTGAAAGTGTTGAGACCTACACCTATAGACTAGATTAGGATAAGACTTATGTATTGTATAACTATGTGACGTCAGGATGTAAAATATAAAATAAAGTTATGTCATGTATAGTAGGATGTAGGACCAGTGTAAAATAATTTCAGTATGTACCTGACTTAATGTTATGTATAAAGTGACATTCGTAGATGTTTATATAGTTCTTTTTAATTGTTCTTATCATTAACAGTAAAGTTTAAGAAATCAGTTTATATTTATTAATAATGTTAACACCTCTCAATTTTATTTCGTACTGTTTATACATAAAAAGAAAATAAAGTTTAAAGAAGTCATGTAAGATTCTTTATAATAATTAAATTATAGAGGATATTACAAATAACAAACTCTGTAAATTAATATAAAGTAGTTCAACAAATAAGGCAAATTAACTTATTTCAACATTTGAAAAATTCTTTGAATACAATGTTTGTTGTAGTATTGGCAACTATGTCATGATTGTCAAGTATGAGAAGCTTTAAACTCTTCTTACTTTGGACTATAGAGAGCAACATACAATTGGCCATGAGTAAAAATTGGTCTTGGAAGATAAAATTTTATATGAGATAAAGTCTGACCTTGACTCTTGTTTATTGTCATGGCAAAGCAAACAACCAATGGAAATTGCCTGCATTCAAACTTTTCAGGGAAGGTGTAATGAGTAGAGGTGGCAAAGTGGGCGGCCCGCTCCACCCCGCCATCAACCCGCCAAAAAATGAGCCAGCCCGCCCCGCCCTGCTTTTGAAAGTGGGTTGAAAAACTCAGCCCGCCCCGCCCCGTTTGGCGGGTTGGCCCGCCAGCCCGAGCCTATTTTACACTGACCCGTCTCGGCCCGCCTATGCCCGCCATCAACCCGCCAAAAAATGAGCCCCGCCCCGCCCCGCTTTTGAGATGAGTTGAAAAACTCAGCCCGCCCCGCCCCGTTTGGCGGGTTGGCCCGCTGAGCCGAACCCGTTTTGCCGGCTCTAGTAATGAGAAGGACTCAAATTCATCTTTGGAATTAACACGATCTCACCTATGTTATTGCCTAAAAGAATTTTTCCTTCAACTATTGCCTAAAAGAATTTTTCCTTCAACAACATGTTTACTAAGTTTTGTAATAAGCAATCTTGTCCCATTGCACAACCCTCTTGATTGATCTATATTCCTCATAAGCATGACAGACACTCCCTTTTTTAATGTCAATTTATGGTTAGGAAGTCCAGTTCCAGAAAAAGTGTTAAGTATTCTGGAGGAAATTCTTCTTCCTTAA